GATGCCTCCTCTCTGTTCAAAATCAGCTTTGTCAACAAGCAGTTTCATGATCTGGCTAACAACAAGTGAGTTCATGATATAAATAATTTGAATAAGGAATATTATATATTAACATGAATGTCCAGTGCTTTGTGGTCTGTGTTGTATGCTTCTGAGATTGAAAAGAAAAAGTGGAGACCCAGAGTGAGCATTATGACAGAAGCCGTGAGCAGCACAATTGTGGATACTGGAAGAAGCTGCTACTCAAAGAGATGGCCGGCTACAAGAACCCCATGTGGAAAACTGAACTAAAACACATGAACCCGCACACGGGCATGCCAGCTCTGACAGAGCATGCTCTCAGGTAAAACATGAGTGCTCGCTGCTTTTCAACAGGGCAGAAAGAAATCTTTTGGGTCCAGTCATGCTTATTAGTTCTACTCAAAAGCATTTCTCATTACTGTATTTTAAATCACCCAGAACTGCAGTATAATTCAAAAGTAATTTAGCAACACCTAAAATGAACGAATTCCTCAAAATATGAACTAAAGTGACATTTATTACCAATTTATTACCAGGGGTCACATGATGCGATTTCAAGTTTGCCTTTCTCTTTGGAGTGTTACAAGCTGTTCGTGAATAGATAAGATCCCTAAAGTTGCAAAGACTAAAGTCTCAAAACCGTTGAAATATTCTTTATAAAAGTTAAGACTCATCCACGCCCTCCTAAAACGCCTCATTTAAACACGCCCCCACATGTCTATGTCACTGTGTGGGAAGATTTGCATAACACCGCCCAAATGTTCACGCAAAGAAAGAAGGCGTAACTTTATTCTCACTGTAGTATTGTTGTTGCTGCCGCCACCAAAACTACTTTGTTTGGCCTTCCAAAAGAGGACACAACTAGAGCGGCGCGTAATCCGTAATTATGTCCCCACTGGATGTAACAAACGCCTCGTTTATAATGGGTTTTTTAATGTTTTTGTCTCGTCGCTCCGGCCGGACAGGGCATCACAGTATGGTAAGGGGCGTAACATTTCCGTCACATGCTTGAGGTATTCGGGCCAATCACAATGCCCTGGATCGCTGGCCAATCAGAGCACACCTCGCTTTTCAGAACGATGAGCTTTGTAAAAATCAACGCGTTTCAGAAAAGCGGGGCATAGAGGAGAAACTATAATGTACAGTATGTGGAAAATAATGTGTTTTTTTAACCTTAAACCGCATAAACACATTTCACTACACCAAATACACAAAATAATGTTCTTTTTTAGCAACATCATATGACCCCTTTAAAAAGAAAAATAACACATTTCAAGCAAAGCATTTATGAAACAATAATTTGTTGTCAAAAATTTAGTAGAGATTAATATAAAAAAAAATTCTGACTGATACTATTGATTTTTGTGTTTGTCTGATAACAAATCTAAAGAACTAATTTGTAGAAGATTTGTGATTGTTTTATTTCAATATTTTTATTACAATAATAAATAAAATCATTATTGTTATCCCTGAAACATAAAAACATACCTTGAGATATTTTAAATATTATATTAAAAACACATTTTTATGTATATACAGGTATATACATGCCATTTTATTTCTGCAGAGTGGTTTTATGATCCAAATGGTCAGACATTAATTTTCTTTTATTTCTTTCCTTTGTTTTGAAATGTATTATATAGCAAAGCAAAACATTGTTTTAGAATATGTCTTGCTATGCTATATTACTCTTGCTATGATATGTGAGACATTAGAAAGTAAATATATTTTAAACTTAAATAGCAACACTTATAGATAGACCTGGTTTTGTGATAAGCAATTAGGCAGGGTAAAGTAAAAAATTACATTAGTCAAACCAAGTATGAGTCTATAAAAATGAAAGGAATAGTTAATCCAAAATGTAAGGCCATCTAAGATAAGTTTGTTTTTTATCAGAGCACATTTGGAGAACTTTAGCACTACATCACTTGCTCACAAATGGATCCTCTGCAGTGAATGGGTGCCGTCAGAATGAGAGTCCTAACAGCTGCTAAAAACACACAGCTCCAGTCCGTCAATTAACAACTTGTGAAGAAGAGCTGCGTGTTTGTAATAAATACATCAGTGAGAGATCCATAATAACACTTCATTGAGTGAAAAAATCCATCCCCTGTTGTCCTCTCACATCAAAATCCACCAACATATTTGTTTAGAACTGTTGTGGACTGTGTTTACTTGTAAACGTTGCTTAATCTGTGCACATTTCTCTCCTGAGGGTGGGTACATTTTCAGAAAATGTTCCTTTTTGGGTGAACTATTCCTTTAAAGCATCTGGATATTTTCTAGCTGTCAAATATAAGTGGAACATGTCCATAGTGAAAGTGAGGAAATACACCTGTGGTTGCTGTGTTTTACAGGAGGTTACACATTCAGTGGGAGATCACACTCACAAATAAGAATGGACAGGAAAGTGTCTATAAGCAGACGCACACGTTCTTCGAAGATTCATCGGTTACAGTATGCTGGAGCCATGGCGTCTGGCCGTTCATGTACAATCTTAATAGCCTTCAGCTTCATGGAATAATGTGTCCAGCTTCACCAGCTCCAGGAGACAAGTAAGAAACACATCTGAATAATCTGAAGCATAATACATACACTCATCTGACTTATGCCTCTAATGTGTAGGCCAAGGTGGCGCTCTCTGATTCACAAGACAGGTTTGCAAAGAACTGGACATTGGTCGTTCTTTGGTGCTGACAGGCTTGTGAAGTTGCTGCAGTTTGATAAATGGATCATCATCGGACTCTGGCGGGTATGTTGATGTATTTAGTTTAAATAATTTCAGTATTTTAGGGATGCACAAATACAGTATTTTGGTACTCTGTTGGTTATCGGGCAATATTAGAGTTGTTTTTCTGTATGGGTTGATATTGAATATTTAATTATGTAGCTTATTTCCCCTTCTTTCATTTATATTATGACTAATATCACTTAATGTTATGCATACATAGATACTGTACATACATATATGTATTAAATGTATATTGGTGTATCCTTAATATAAAACATTCAGATTTTTAAAATACAAACTTTATATTATTGAAAACATTATTTACATCCTGTCTATATTTATTTTATCTATGTTGTTTTTGTTCATTTGTGGTGCTTGTAGGGCAATTGGAAAATTGCCTTCATCATGATCAACCTGCACTTCCACAAACTGATGGAAAGAAGTCTCCTTGGGTCAAGATTTTGGAACAAAACTCTTAATGGTTAATGGTTAAAAGTTGATAACATCTCACACAGTCCCTTAACACATAAAGTATGTTTGTTCACATCAATAGTCTCTACATACCTGCAGAGGACAATGCTGTGGACCCTGACTGTAGTCGCCATGGATACACTCTGCACATTGTGCTTCACAATCCAGTTCAGCGAATCATGTGTCAGCGTTTTTCCCCACTGTACACAAGGAGAGGTAAATATATAATATTTTTGTAAACCCATTTTTACTTTTTTCCCCTCCGCAGTCTGATTTTCAACAAATTATGAGCATGATATATCAAACTGTTGATATATAATGTGAATAATATGAATGTTCGCACATTGTTCTTGGGATTCACAGTGATGTCGCAAGGGGAATTTGTGCAGTTAATCGCCATTGGTTCCTCAAATGTATCCGAGCACATGCCTGTGGCAAAGATCAGTCTTCCATGGGAAGCAGAGGGATTGCAGGGAGATGTTGAGGTACCTAATATGATTCTTACGCTCATTGGCCACTTTATTTAGACTTAATTTCTCCCTGGAACTGACTGGTTAGTCAGATTTGGCATGCTATTCTTAGGATACTGTCTATAAATAGATTGGTAAGTATCACGCTGTGTGAATGGGGAACATAAACAAGACCAAATACTAGAAGTCTGAAGTTAAATGCACTTTGAGTGCAGTTTAGAGTTGACGGCTGGATTTACAACATGAGAATGTAGCAATGGCAGAAAATATGCTGCCGATGAAGCAGACTAGCAAGACTTGCTATATGTATTGTATTAGACAACTGTGCACTGTTTATTGTGTGTTTTAGTTAGATACAGTTGTTCAAAATTTTACATACAGTTTCAACGATTAATTTCACTTGTGGACTATATGTGAACGTCTTTTATGTGAAGTATCTTATTCAGGTCAGTACTAAAAAAATAACATGCATTTTGTATGATCCCTTTTATTTTGGTAAAATAATGAACATTTGGCAGATACTGCAAAGTGTATGTAAAATTTTGTCCACAACTGTATGCATTTCCTAAACTTGCTTCCTTTATCAAGGAATGATAAAAACAACAATGTTTACATGCTCCACATCTCCAGGGCTGCTGCATGATGACTCTGACGGTGTTGGATGAGGCTCAGCGTCCCTTCTGGTGTGTGAGTTCTACTGTAAAAATGTACAGTAGATAAAGAGTGCTGGACTTGGAGTATGAAGGTGAGCAGTTCATCGTCCTTTATGAGGATGCGGAGGGGAAGGTCAAAATGACCTTCGTGTGGATGAAGGAGTTTCAGCACTACTTTTTGGTGCAATTAGTCACTATATTCCCAGCAGCCAAAGTGAAAAAGCACTTTGGGGGAGAATAATGAAACCGTTGCAATACCTAGCTGGTTTATGTTTAGAAAAGTTGAAATGATTCCGGCAGTGCTTTGAGTTGTAAATATTCAAAGATGATTTTGGAATATGTTTCATTTTCCAAGCTTATTTCATTTGTTTATTGTTCATGAAAAAAATGTTTTTTGGCAGTTTGTTGATGTGAATGTCTGAAAAGTTTTGTCGAGTTTCAGATGCTTTGAGTTTTGCTTTTATGTTTTGTTTGTTTGGAAATGCTAAAGCACTATTTATATTTTAGTACCAATTGAAATTTGGTAAATGTTGTTAAACTTTGTTTTGGCTTCATGTTTCTCATAGTCAAATAATTTTCAAAAGGAGAATAAATAACAATGGTTTGAACATCCTGTGTACTGTGTAACTGAACTCACATCGTAAACCCAAATGATGAAATTATATTAATTATTTATTTCTCTGTAATGTTTTTATAAAGGTCATTCAAGTGCTGGAGTGATGCTTGTCGAAACTTTAAAGGACATTGAGAAACACGTTGAAAACAGCTGGTTTTGTTCAATGGGATGCAGAATGTACAATTTCTAATCAGCTAAAATTCTTCTTCATTATACCAACCGTTATGAAACATATATAATAACTCTTTACATTAGTGTGTAATTTTCGCACTACAAGCATCACCATATGAAACTGCAAAAATATTCAGGTCAGCTGGTAGTCTTTAGGCTTTGGACTTTCGACACTGCTTTAAAGCGTCTTCCAGAGCTGCAAGAACCATCGCAGCATTGGCCTTGTTGCAGTTGTATCCCATGAGCCCGATCCGCAATACCTAGAAATCAGTTGAGTGGATAATTATTCAGCCATGTAGTTGAATGCTGCATTGTCATGTTTTGTTGACAAGCTTTTACTCACCATGCCAACAGAGGGCCCTAGACCTCCTGTAAACTCGATTCGGTGATGCTTCATGATGTAAGCCAGCAATTCCTTCCAGTCGTACCCTTCAGGGATGGCAATGGTGGTGACGGAGGGTAATCTCAGATCCTTTAGGAATGGATATATATTTTAACTGCTTTCTCTTTTAGGTTATGTTATTGTTCTCAGAATTAATAAAGTGAAGTCAACAACAGTTACCTTGTCCTTGATAAACAGCTTCAAGCCCAGGTCTTCCAAGCCCTTCCAGAGATACTCTGCAATTTCTGTATGATGACTCCATGAGTTCTCAAGACCCTTGAGCAGACATTATTAGTCATTATCAGTCATTAATATATACTGTATATATATTCAAATATAGTAAGTGCTTAATAGCAGACATACTGTGTTTACATTTGTAAATACACTACCATTCAAAGGTTTGTGGTCAGTCAGATTATATATATATATATATATATATATATATATATATATATATTAGAAACTAATACTTTATTCAGCAACGATGCTTTAACTTGATCAAGAGTGACAGTAAAGACAGTTATAAAATTACAACTGATTTTGATTTCAAATCTTACAAAAGAAAGGTTTCGGCTGATCAGCATATTAGAATATTTCCTAAAAGGATCATGTGACCCTGAAGACTGAAGTAATAGCTGCTGAAAATTCAGCTTTGCCATCACAGGAATAAATTACATTTTTAAATGGTTTAAAAGAAAACAGTTATTTTTAATTGTAATAATTTTTCACAATATCACTGTTTTACTGTATTTTTAATCAAATAAATGTAGCCTTGGTGAGCATAAGAAGAAAAGGGTAAGAAAATCCTACCGACCCAAAACGTGAATGGGAGTGTATGTAACATCACAGATTTGTAAATATAAGCACCCGGCCTGTTATAGTTCAAACAAAAATACATAGTTGAGAAAACAAGCAGTATGTCCTATAGTTCTAGACTTTGGGACCAAAAGGTTAACTATTGAAGAGTGAATTATTATGACAAGCAAGGTGTTAAATGTTTACTAAAAATAAAAAGCCCTTACCATTTCAGCAATGATGGCTAGACTTTCCCTCAGGGCAAAGAACCCAGACACAGGTCCTGTGTGATGGTATCTGAAACACAATTTAGTTAACTTCAGACAGCTCAGTCTTCTACTACAGGGGTGCAAAACTCAGTTCCTTGAGGGCCACAGCCCTGCAGAGTTTAGCTTCTATTTAAATGCACCTGATCCAGGTAATCAAGTCCTTCAGGTTTATTTGGAAAATACAGTACATGGTATGTGTGTTGGAGCACGGTTGGAACTAAATTCTGCAGGGCTGTGGCCCTCCAGGAATTAAGTTTTGCAACCATGCTCTACTAGGTCTTGCAAGGGCAACAGTTTGCATTTACAATACGTACATTCTTTCAGGCTTGCCGTCATTGCCCCAGTAATTGGATAAGTGGGTCATATCAAGGAGGTAGGACACTGGCTTTGTTTTCCTGTTAAACATCTTGTGGCTATGTCACATTTGAGAAAAATGGATAATGTTAGTAGATCCCATTAATTGTTTGAATGATTCAATGTGTCCAAGCACATACTCATATTCATTTACAAATATTTCTCCTCACCATGCTCTTTCACTGAATGAAACTGGTGCTGTGCCGGGTGGAGCATTCAAGGCTTTTTGGGAACCAGTATACAGAATATCAATATCTACAAAGGAAGGTTTGAACAGTTGAATTCAATCCTCATGCTTTTACACAGAGATTTAGAATATGCACTTGGTAAATAACATCATCTTTAAATGTTCATCTAACTTCATATTCATATAATTAAATATTTAAATAACTTCGTATTTTGATCCACTCACTTTGTTGGTCCATTAAAATAGGTGCAGCTCCCAATGACGCCACTGAATCCACTAAAAGCAAACAGTTGTATCTGTATAGACAAAACCACACTGTAAAAAATGACAGTGAATTTAACGGTAAAAGACTGTAAAAATGCTACAGTAAAAACCTGTTAAATGGTTAACGGTAAATTCCCCTACTATATACGGTGAAAAACTGTATTGGACATTAATTTTACAGTAGTATACCGTTTTTGGAAGTGAAAAAGACCTTATAATTTACAGTGACATTTTACATTTCAAATTTGATGTTTTTTTGTTGAAATAACTATGTTTCTTCTTAGTTTTTTCGTATCAGTTTTGCATATCAGGGTTGTGTGTTACACCTAATGTTGTTAAATGAATGTTTATTGCATTATTTCAGTTTCATGTGTGTTACCATGATGGTGTTTGGTGTTTGTGTGAATGACACTGTGCACCTTCTATATATGTTATTATTTAAAAGCTGCTTGTGATGGGCTTTGAATCATCATGTGACTTTCTCATCACCACCTGCTTTTGGTGGTTATCAGTGTATTACAAAGGTGCAAAACAGATTTCAGTACTTCAATAGGTTGGTATATTAACATTATATCAGTTAATGAAAATACGGTATTTAACTGTAAATTTAAGTTAAAACCGTAAAACCTAAAACGTTGCTACCGTATTTTTAGATTACGGTAAATTACGGTAAAATTCCGGCAACCATAGCTGCTGTTTTTTTACCTTAAATTTTACTGAATTTTTTTTACAGTGCATGCAAGAGAGGTATATGAAGTTAAGGTTAACTTTAAAAGCGAATGTGGGAGAACAGTAGACAATATAGACATTTAACTTTCAAATTATTTTTTTCCAATATTAGTTATTTTCAATATTGTGTGCTAGCAATATTGAAATTAAACTTTTATTTTGCCTTTACATTATTTAACGTTTTTCTTGGATATTTCATTTTATTTATTTTTTTACATTTATTTTTTACAAATAATCGACTGTCAGAAGTGTATCTCTACAGTGTGTACACCAATCAGAGAATCTTGCATGCTTAAAAAAAAATAAAAAGGAAGCATGTAAAAAATTTTACATAAAAGTACAATAGAAGTCCCACAGTAAGCTAAATGATTGTAGAATATTCTTACTTGTGACAAATATCACCAACGCCGTCCATTGGGTGCACCAGACCAGCTGATGACTCTCCATGTGTGAGAAAGAAAAGAACTGGCTTATGTTTAGCCAGAGCCTGTAGAATGACAAATAATTTGCTTTTTTTGATGAGTAAATTGCTTTACTAGTCATATAACATACAGTGGCATTTGAAATTGCAATTTGTATACACAGAACTAATAAATGAAGGACAGTATCACCTGTTCAATTTCTGCATTTGTAAAATGTCCTCCAGGTGTTTTAAACAAGGTGTGAACCTTTGCACCTGGGAAAAAAAAAAAGATGTTAAAGAATAAGCATGCTTTCATACTCTCAACAAGTAAGGATGAATTTCTAGAAAACAGTGGGCTGGCATTATTTTTATTATTAGTTTCATACCCATCCGCTCAGCAATTTCTGCGACTCGTTCTCCCCAGATTCCATTGATGGCAACCAGAACACTTTCTCCAGGCTCCACAATGTTAAAGACTGCACACTCCATGGCTGTGTGCCCAGAGCCACTCATGGCCAGTGTCATATTGTTACTGGTCTGAAAAGCGTACTGAATTCCCTTCTTGATATCATTCATAATCTATGACAAAATATGTGCAGGGACTGTTAGAATCCTCCAAACATCCAAGTTTCCAAAGGCAGCTCTGATACTAAAATCATGCCATCAATATATGATGCCTTTTGGCCCAGATCTATTAATTAGTTATTCAAAACTTTGAAAAAATTTTTTAAAAGCTATTTGGAGATTCTGCTGCTGTTATCTAAGGCTGTATGTTTTTGTTTTTTCGTCCTTTCGTCTTTAAATCAATATTTTAACCCTTAAGTTTCCTGACCCCTCACAAAAATACACAGAACACACGTGTTTATCTGAACTTTTTCACAGAGTTGAACTGCCTTGTGCTGAGAGAATACAATATGTTGCAGTCGATTAGTCAAGGGATTTAAATCCAGTATTAATATTAATATCCATATGTATCCATATTTTTAGATTGGGAGATAATGTAAATGAGTTTGATACTGTTTAAGTTAGCTGAAACCCCCTAATATCTGGCCCTAATCAGGTAAGAAGAAAAATCTAGAATCACATAAGGACTGCATCTGAAACAACAACAACAACAACAACAACAACAACAACAAATAAATAATCAGACAAAAAGTGAGTTTTTGTTTACATTCTTGTGAGGCGCTCTATTGATTCATTCATTCTCCACTTGTTTACCAGCTCAGATGAGGAGTGTACCTTTCTCAATACTGTTGATTGGCTGATGTGAAGAAACACACAAGCACACACTAATAAGTCCAACTCACATTTCATTTGTCCCTCACATGGTCAGTGCAGCACATGGTATTAGATCTACAGGGCATATTAATGTATTGCACATGACTATTACACATATTATTTTAAAAATTCTGATATTTCAGTTTGAATGTTTATAAACGGCTATATTAAAACTAATTTTTAAACAAATGTCTAGGTAGGGGGCCTCCCAACTGGTGTGCTGCTTGTGACATGCTACTTGGAAATTTGTACTGCTTAAGAACTAATTTCAGGTAATATCTAACAGATATAATGGCAAACAGGAAGTTGTTCACATTATTTGCATTTGAATCACTAATTTAACTAAGTAAGTCTGTATTTGGTAGTAAGTTTGTATTTTTTGGTGATTTGTTTGAAGGAAAATCACACCCAAAATTGAAAATATGCTGAAATTTTACTCACCATCAGACAATCCAAGATGAGATTTGGAGAAATTTAGCATTACATCACTTGCTCACCAATGGATCCTCTGCAGTGAATGGGTGCCGTCAGAATGAGAGTCCAAACAGCTGATAAAAACACCACAGTAATCCACAAGTAATCTACACGACTCCAGTCCATCAGTTAATGTCTTGTGAAACCAAAACCTGCATGTTTGTATACAAGAAACCATATTTTTTAAGCCTTTTTAACATTAAACTGTCATTTCTGTCCTCTATCCATAATAACACTTTCTCCAGTAAAAAAAAAAAGTCCTTCAATGTTGTCCTCTCACATCAAAATCCACCAAAATATTTGTTTAGAACTGTTCTGGACTGTCTTGGCTTATAAACAGTGCTTGATCTGTGCATATTTCTCACCTGATTCAGACAAAAGCAACTTTTTCACTAAAAAGAAATATTATGGATAGAGGACTCATATTTTAGCTGGAAGCAATGGTTAAAAACATATTAACATATTAACATGTGTTTCTTACAAACACAGATTTTCACTTCACAAGACGTTAATTGATGGACTGGAGTCATGTGGATTACTTGGGATTATTGTGATCTTTTTATCAAACGTTTTATCAGCTGTTCTGACGACAAGTAATGCTAAATTTATCCCAATTTGTTCCCATAAAGAACCAAACTCATCTATATTTTGGGAGGGAGAGAACATTTTCAGAAAAATTTCATTTTTGGTAAACTGTTCCTTTATTTATTTTAATTACTATATTAATTCATTTCATCATATTTATATAACTATGTACGAACAAAGTCTTGAACGTGAATAGATTGTGCTGTTCCCAGTCAGTACAAGAATGCTTACTCTGTACAAAAGTACCTGATCAGAACATATTGATTCTCTAAAAGCACACTACTCGTGTGTCATAGGAAGCCGATGCTGATGTCAGAGCGGGGACTTTGACCAGAGCACTGGTCCCCATCACTTATCCTGCAGTAAATAATTAGTCTGCACAGTAAATAAGTGGAAATGCAATGTTTAACCTTGTGTGCCCTTTGCACTGTGGTGGGGCTCAAACACCCACTTCACAGGCCAGAGTAAGAGACAGAAGTGACTCAACTCTTGCCATGCTTTTGTGAAAGACGGGACATGTACCCTGATGTAACACGTACTGACAAATGGAGACGTTCAGGTAGATATAGATGACCTTGACCCCATTAAACTACAATTCAAAAACTAATTGAAAAAGTGTGTTTGTCAGGAACCATTTAAATTGACGGCCTCGTGTAATGTAGTGTAGCAGAATGTCAGCTGTCCGGTAGATGGGGCTGTTCTGCTAAAATCATTTTAGCCCATTGAAGTTATAACATTTTCAATTTGACTTTAGTACAATATAAAATGATCTTCAAAAGGAATTGAACAACATTGTCTTTTTCTCGCTTATTATGAAAGGTTACGCATCAGAGTGAAAAAAAACTTTTCTTTATTATTATTATTATTATTATTCAGTAGCGAACCGTGACTTGAACCTAGGTCCTCTCCCCCTACCCTAGTCGAGGGAAAAAACAAACTACCAGCCTAGTTTACGGTGTCTTCTTCTAAAAGTCATCTTTGACAGTTCCACCTTTGAAACAAGAGGCTAATCCAGTCTAATCCGGTGTCGGGCGAAAAGCGCTGCACTGCGCCGCACCACTTTAAAATTGTATCACAGTGTTTTCTATGAGTGTACGCACACCGACCGGCGACTACTCACAGAGTTTCCCATTAAATTGTATTATATTTGTCCCAAATTATTGTTAATGTACATAATGACTTATAATGCATTTTTCAGCGAAACATTTTCTTTCTGTGGCTCTAATAAAGTCCGTGCTTCCTATAATCGACTGCTTTCTCGACTGAAATCTCTCTCGTTTTCATTCAGTTTGCTCTGTTTTTTTTTCCAATGACCGAACTTCAAACTCCTTCACACCACTTGGTCATTCTTGAAGTGAACTTTTGACTGTTGGGAAAATGGATTGATTGGTTTTGGACTGTCATCTTGAACTGAACGCTGCGCTTCTCGTCCGGTGTGCGGTTCGCCTTTCAGAAATGCAACAAGAAAAACCAAATGCACTGCGAGAGTAACTGATTTCACCAAAATAATACATAGCTCAATTTAAGTCAAATGAAAATACTCATTACAAATGCATCATCACACAATTGGTCTATGCACAAAACCAACAAATGTAGCTAATGTGTGTTTAATGTGAGCCAACAAATTATGTCAAACTATCAGTGTTTATAATAAATAATAATATTATTATTAATATTAAATAATATTATTATTGGCACAGCGGCCTAATAAATGTCTTCACTTACCTTATTTGCGGCTTTTATCGTGACTTGAATAATAGCTAGTTAGTTTATTAGCCGATTTTTTTCCACAGTGAAAAAACACTGAACTTGTCATAAAGTTAGCGATAGCAAGGCCCACCCAGAGCTGTAGAGAGAAAGATATGATTGGTCAATTTTTCTGCCATTCTCTATAATTTCATAGCTGAGCCACCAATCACAGAGCCGCAAGCGCTAGGCGGAAACATTCTAAAATATGGAGAAAATGGGCGTCCTTCATGTAACGCATTCACATAAATTGTATTTATTTTATTTAGATGGCGATTGTCAAGTTATGAATTGCTTAAAAATATAAATTATGTTTTATTAAAAATAATATTTAAAATGTATCGTTTAAAAATATTTAAAACATTTAAATATTCTTTTTAGTTTAGGCCCCTCTCTTCCTTTGTACAGGTATCAATGAAATTGACATGGATGTACAAAGATATTGTTCATGTACTGTTTTGTAAAATTTCGGGTTGATACATTTTTTTTTTTATGATTTTGAAAGAAGTCACCTTGGCTGCATTTATTTGAACAAAAATACAGTAGTAAGAAATTGTAAAATATTACTAAAATTTTAAATATCCATTTTCTATTTTAATTTATTTTTTAAATGTAATCTATTCCAGTCTTCAGTGTCAGATCGAAAGCTCAAAAGAACAGCATTTATTTTAAATTGAAATCTTTTGTGAATGTCTTTACCGTTACTTTTAACGGTAACATCTTTTCTGAATAAAAGTATTACTTTTGAACTGTAGTGTACATTGCAGGTCTTATTATTTATTTATTTATTTTTTATAAGTGAACCCAACTTGTTTGTCTCTTTGCATAAGCTTAGCTGGCATCCTCAGCCTTCATAATGAGTCCATTGAGAGGGTCTGTGCTGTGCATACTGAGACACAAACCTTACCGGCTGAGCTTAGAATTTAAAATGAGCTCTTTGTGCTTTTAACACTGTGGTTTATATTCGAGGACACGGAAGCAAATCCGTGAACCGTGGTCTTTTGACTGTCCTGTGATGCTGTTGTCACACCCTTCCTCTCTCTCTCTCTCAATTTCAATTCAATTTAAGAGTGCTTTATTGGCATAACAAAAATTATACATTTGTATTGCCAAGGCAATTGCAGCTGGCAGTAGCGAACCGTGACTTGAACCTAGGTCCTCTCCCCCTACCCTAGTCGAGGGAAAAAACAAACTACCAGCCTAGTTTACGGTGTCTTCTTCTAAAAGTCATCTTTGACAGTTCCACCTTTGAAACAAGAGGCTAATCCAGTCTAATCCGGTGTCGGGCGAAAAGCGCTGCACTGCGCCGCACCACTTTAAAATGGTATCACAGTGTTTTCTATGAGTGTACGCACACCGACCGGCGACTACTCACAGAGTTTCCCATTAAATTGTATTATATTTGTCCCAAATTATTGTTAATGTACATAATGACTTATAATGCATTTTTCAGCGAAACATTTTCTTTCTGTGGCTCTAATAAAGTCCGTGCTTCCTATAATCGACTGCTTTCTCGACTGAAATCTCTCTCGT